GTTGAAATATTACTTACCGATATGACTGCCAAATTTATCTGTGTTGTAGGGGACCATGGTGCCTTGATTGAAGAACTCGATAGGTAGAGACTCTTCTGTGATATCTGCGAAATAGAAGATGGCCAAGTTTATATGCTGGAAGGAAATTGGCGGACAAGAACAGTAATTACAGTACTATTGCTGCATTCCCCCGCAAAACAACAACAAAAAAAGATGTTACAACTCCTGGTTTGTTTACCGTCAAACCTAAGCTCTAAACGTAAACGGCTAGAGTTTAGGTCTGCAGTTAAAAAACAATTTGGAAGATGAAAAAAAAAAATCAAAATCGTCTTCACCTTTTTTTTTCTCCTTTTGCATTGTTTGTTTGTAAACGAAAGGGTTCGCTGCTTTCACATGGGTAGTTTTCGTGCGCCTAAGGTACAATTTTTATTTTATAGTACAATTCCCAGCAACTTCTAAGTATGATAGGCAATACTTTCTACTTTTCTGTGGACTTTCAAGTGTCCCCAGTTTTTCATCCCAACAGACCTTCTTTTTCAAAAGTGCGTGCCATCTGCTGCACGAATGATCCCTGTCTGCCATTGTTTGGGAGCGAAGACTGAGCTTGTATTGGGTATGAGTGCTGCATCAGCGTCCAGTAATTAGGCTCGGAGACAGTCAGACGTTTCCTGCCCAAGAAATTGCGACCGCCAATATTGCTTGATGGGGTTTTGCAAAGGGTCCACTGTAAGATGAAGAGTTAAAATCGAAATGCCGTTGTTTTTAAACGTTCGAGAAGAAACACCCACAGAGACCAACGCGTGGCTTTGACCTCACGCCGCTGCTGCCGGCTTAGCGCATGCGCAGACGCTTCACTTCAGGCGAGCCTAAGTGCCCACAGCCCACTGGATGGATGGTGACGGCTGCACCCATTATAACGGGCGGTAGCTTGCGCCACCTAGCCTAGAAATTAAAAACCAAACGAAAGATTTCGTCCTTCTAAGCCGATTTGCTTCCCCACCAGAATGTCGGCATGCAGTGTTGCCAGCCAAAACGACTTACTAGGAATGTCTCTCAGATTGTCCTTTCCCTGTTGTCAACTGTAGAGCTGACGAACATTATGTCAAATAGTTCGAAGTTTTGCGATAGAATGAAGACAGCAGAATGCATGGTATGATGAAATGAAGAGATCACTATGCATGGCATGATAGAATTAAGATATCAGTATGCATAGTATGATAGAAAAGATCAGTATGCACTCTAATAATACCATGAATACTGCAGACCATGCATACTGCATGGTACGCACCTTGCATGATACCATGCAGTATGCATGGTACCATTAGAGGAGTACTCCGGCGATTTTTTTTTTTAGCTATCCCAACTATCTATATTTTCGGCATCACCAGCTTTTACCCTTTCCGGTATGCTATTTAATCTCACAAATTTCATAATAGTTTTTGTGAGGTCGGCAAGTGAAAATGATGCCAAAATCAACATTGAAATCTACCCGCGCTTTTCAGCGCCGTGACGCCAGAGGAAGGCAGGCTTGCAGGCCGAGCGGGCAGTCGAAAAATTCCCTATGCCGAGCATTTGCTTCGTGCTGCTGCGCGGGTGCTGGAGTTAGTTTCCGAAGCATTCATTCGACACCATGAAACTGCTATATATATATATACGAAGACGGCAACACTGGGGTAGTGGCGTGCCTGACCGTCACGCGCCACGCTCCGCGCGCACGGCCCGGCTTCCATAAAATCCTTTCTATTTCATTGAGTGGACGCGTCATTTTCATTTTGCTGCCGGCCGCACATCTTCGTAACAATATATATATATACATATATATATATATATATATATATATATATATATATATATATATATATATATATATATATATATATAGCAGTTTCATGGTGTCTATATAAATATATATATATATATAAAGCGCCGGAGTATTGCTATAAAAACTATACAAGACAGATGCGATGCGAAGTGCATTATAGGTTCGGGATCGGTTTCGGATGGATTTGTGTTTATTTTTCTCACGCTCGGAAACTAAGGAAGGCAACAGAGGGCACTGGACATGCGGCTTTACTCCACAAATAATTAATTTAAAAAGGTACCTCGGGTGTTCCGAGTGATTCTTTTCAACTAAAATGTTACTGGTACATCAGCCGCACAATCGGTATCGTAATTTTCCATTCGCACTTCTAAAATAATAAAAATAATAATAATAACATTTTCAAAGATAAATAAAGCGTTTTGAAAGTAATCGTTTTTTTGTTTTGTTTTTTTAGTTGGGAGGAGGGGGGGGGGGGGGTAAATGTAGAATTATGTGTCAAGATACGTTGCTTGTAGGCACCCTTCGGCACGAGTGAATGTTAACTGTACCGCCTACATTTTTTGGAGTAACCACTAAAAAGCCTGCTGATCACCTCGTGAGAAATAGATGGCTCCCTAGTTATACTGTACAACCTTTCACACCAATTGCGACCGCGGCCGTCCATCAAGAAGCGGCAAAGGTGCACCTCACAGCGCAGGTCGTCTTTGTGCGTCCGCTATGCGGAGCGCGAGTTCGTCTGCTTCTTGCAGAGGGGTAGCAATGAGATCAAAATGCCAAACTCTTAATGGCCGATCTAAATTTAAAAAGAATAGCGGGTACAGTTTAGGACATTTAGCATTCAAATCAGAGCTCGGCGACTTGGCGATGCCACCGAAACTCCTGGGCAAGAAGCGGACGACTTGCTCTCCGCATATCGCCGGCTAAACAAACCAGGAACAAAGAAACCAAGCGCCGGGCCGGGGCGCGTTTCCTGCCAGTGACTGGTTCAGCCAGCGATAGCGAACGGACCAGGGCGACGAGCGCAGTGGCGATGCAGTTTTTGGGCGCTGCCCTGTCGGCTCCCATCGGATCGTGGCGTTGACAACTCCACGTCAAGAATGCAAAACGCCACCCGGCAAAGCTGGCGTATACCGTTGATGCCGTTCTGTTTCCTCCAGCGCAGGGCATGTTTGGCGAATGTGATGGCGTCCTGAAGGTCGCACTTCTTGTGGCGCAGGTAGCGTCGGCACTGTTCGTCGTTCTCGCGAATCCGGGCCACGTCCGCGGGATGGTACAGGTCTGCGAGAAAAGACAGCAATGGATATTACCGTGCTGGTCCCTTGTATGCTGGGAGATCCCGACAAAAGAAAAACCGGATGTTTTCGGCCCGGGTAAATAAACTCTATGCATCACAGAAAGCTTAAACACTGCGAGAACATGACGCTAGCTGTTGGGTTGTGGTAGAAAGCGAAAGCATGAGAACATGACGTTATACCTGGATCGAGAGATAATACACAAAAACGAAATTTTTCTATGAGCCGACGTACACCTAAACCTAATGTTGTCAAAATAAATGACACTGTGAAAGCCTGTATTACCTATACATTTATAGTATATATATATATATATATATGGTCAGCAAGGTAGAAAACAATATAATTTTTCTGGTCGATAAGTATTTTCCTCTAATATAAATCCCACAAGCGTCCACAATGTCAGTTCTTGTTTTGACGACATTCAGCTTCGGTGGACGTCGGCTCATAGAAAAATAAAGTTTTTCTCAATTATCTTTCCATCCAGGTAATGTCATGTTCTCAAGCTCTCGCGTTCTATCCCAACCGCTAGCGTCACAATCTCACGGCGTTTGAGCTTTCTGCGATGCATAGTTCATTTACCTGGGCCGAAAAACATGGTTCTCTTTTCTCGGGAACTCCGCGTACTTGTCTTCCTATCGTCCCTGATTCTGCGCCCTCGGTTCGCCAGTATATTATTACAGAGTACAGAAGTTTGCAAGCAGACGAACCTTAAAATCCACTCTGGCCACCGTGGACGGGAAACGTTTCGGTAGGGTCAGGTATATAGGGTCATCAGTCTCGCAACAGTGGTCACGTCTTAGCAAAGCTATGAGAGGGCATTAGGGGAGATGCGACGATTGCGCGGGCGGAAGCGGGACAGACAGTGGGCCAAAGCAGAGGCGTTAGAACTATTCAGGAAGGACGTTAAAAGTAAGGCTGGGTATTGGATCGATTAAACTTCCGATAAATCGATTAATGATTTAATCGCGATTAATATTTTGAACCGGTTAATCGGTTGAGTTTTAAGCTAGAAACGTCGAGAGGAAAAGAAGTGAAAGACGTTTACCATGCTCTGTAAGCCGAAATCAGAGCGCAGCTCTTGAGGAGAAGGAGGGGAGCGTAAAGAGAGAGGGCATGCCTCTCCTCCTCCGTACCCTCCCTTTCTCCTCGCCTCCCACTTAGCGGAAAATGTTCGCTAAATTTCCGTGCTGAATTTAACGGGTTAACATTCCCCGCTAAATTCAGCGGGTTAAGTTTCTCCGCTAAATTTAACGGAGAAATTGACTTCGCGTGACCTTATAACACCAATTCAGTTTCCCCACCAAATTTAACGGGGAAACTGTGACGTCCCATAATGCAACGCGCCGCTCAACCCAGAAACGGGCGCCTGAGAGCTGCGCTCTAAAAATGGCACCAGTATTTCTATGTATTGATCAAATCGTCATGTACAGAACTGCAATGTGTGATTAAATTGTGGGTTTTTTATAGCGCTTTTGCATTGGCGCTCTAATTCATCATGCGCCACGTGATCACGTGACGTCACGGTGTCAGGACATATAATGTCAAGTAATGTCACGTCCCGTGGACCAGTGACATCTGGTGACGTCGTCAGGTCAAATTAAGCTCATGACGTCACTAGATTTATTTGCGTTACCGTGCCGTCACATTCCATTACCACTCACACAGCGAGTCACGTAACACCGTGACGTAGTCGATCATCACGAGCTCGAGTCGAGTGCTCGGGTTCATGACAACCAGCATCGCCAAATGTTCGGGTCATGGCTCGTGCTCAATCGGTGACGAGAACTGCCGAAATCTAACAATGTCTAAAGCTCAGCCCACGCTCTATACTTTGCTAACCCCAGCGCATGACTACACTGTTCCCTTAAAAAGACGGGACTCAACATTCTTTTTAATTTTTTTAGACTTCTTATTGACTTTCCGCCATCCTACTGAATTCCTTTATAAACGCACTTTGTTTGGACTATTGTCAAAAAACTTTCAAAAGAAAAATATTGAACTTTTTTGTACACTTATTTATAAAAAAAATTAAAAAGAACTTGTAAAAACGTTTTTCTGTAGGTTATTTTCTAAAAAAATTCAAAAGGAGAAACAATAGATTTTGTTTTGTAGACTTATTTATAAAAAAATTAAAAAGAAGTTGTAACGACGTTTTTTAGTAGGTTATTTTCTAAAAAATAAAAAGAAAACTTATTGACATTATTTCTTTATATTATTTTATAAAAAGATACATTGTTTAATTATTTTATTTGGTCTGCGGTCGTGTGCGGGGTCCGATATGACGTTTTTTTTGTTTTTTTTTTACTTTTTATTGAAAATGTGTTGCCTTCTTGTTCACCCTGATTACTTTCTTTTGACTGACTTCCTGTTGACATGGTCAACAGAAAGTTTGTTGATTTTGTGTTGAAACTTTTTTTATGCTTTTCTTCTGCCCGAGTCAAAAGAAAAACCATTGACTTTCTATTAACTCTACGTTGGATCTTTTTCTGTTGACTTCCTGTTAAAAGTGTTATCAGAAATACCGCAGACGTTCTGTTTACTTCGTGTTCAAATTATTCAGTTGCCTTTCTGTAGCCAGTGTCAAAAGAAAAGCTACAAACTTTCTGTTGACTTTTTATTGAACACAATACATCTTGACTAAATGTCAGAAGTCACTAAGTTTCTCAATATTCTCTGACAAGTTGAGAACCGTAGGGAGGAGCTTCCGTTCTGTTGCCTCCAGCGCGAGCCTTCTATCCTTGAGAACTCTTCGACGTCTCGCGCCCCTCGAGCTCGACTGCGCAGTCAAAGCACAACCGAAGGCATGGGGCGCAGGCTGGAGGCCAGGAGTTCGAAAAACACGCCCAGCCGTTCTCACTTTGTAAATGACTATCGTGGCATTATTGACCCTATTCAAAGAAGAGCAAAATAATTATTTTAAAGTGGAGTAACCGCCTTGACTGGCTTCGTCCTGAGTGGTGCTATGCAGAGAAGCGATAACATTTGTTCTATGAGCCGTTTTTGTGGATGTTGTTTTAGTGACTACACGAAATTATTATTAGTTGTACCCAGTCTTGTACACGTTACTAAAAAAAAGTAATCGATTACAATTACTTTTACTCTTGGCTAAAAAGTATTCGATTAGATTACTTGATTACTCGACGGCAAAAGTAATTGGACATTACTTAAAGAAGTAATCGTTACTTTTCCGATTACTTTATTGTGTGAAGACACATCTTTAGCGCTGATAACAATGAACTACTACTTCCAACCTATATTTCACATTTGCACAAGTATTGAGGAAGAAAAACTGGCTCCCTCTTCGTGGTCGTTGCACCTTCACAATGCGGACACAAGCATAAAATTCGTTTGAAGACGTTTAATGATTTGGGCGTTCGCCAGTGTGTGTCTGTGTGTGTGTGTGGGGGGGGGGGGGAGAGCGGAGGGGTTCTGGATCAAGTGTTGCCGCTCAAAGTTTGCGTCGCTCATTTTATTATTCACATGTGGATGAGCTCGCATGTTATACAAAAAAAAAAAAAAAAAAGCAGCATCTCCAGGATTTGAAACGGATAATGTGTAGTATCCATTAGCGGAAGAGATCGCCCCGACCATTTCTCAACTCGAAACATTGCTTGTCACAAGGACCACGTAAGGGAAATTCTTATTTCTGTGTGTGTGTGCGTGAGGGGGCTAGTTTGAACGAAGGACTCAAAAAGCTACATTCTGCTTCCTCAAACTTCGCCCTGAATGGCCTTTGTCACGCACTGTGGCTTCCCTGAGGTTTCCCACTCCCAGTCCCAGCACCCCACCCCCCCCCCCCCCCCCAAAAAAAAAGAAAAAAGAAAGGGCATTCCACAGAAACTGTACATAGAAAGAGATTGACCTCGTCTCATACAGCTCCACAAAAAGCTTTCTTTCTTCCGTTCGAAAAAAAAAAGCAAATTTTATTTTTGTCATTTCATAAAAAAAAGGCGTGTGCCGGGGGGGGGGGGGGGGGGGGGGATCCCGTGGACGAATTGTAACGGTTACAAGTAATTTTATTACTTCAAAAAGTAATCAGATTACTCTTCTGATTACTGCCTAATAAAAGTAATGAACTGATTACAAAATTACTCCAAAAAGTAATCGATTACAAGTAATTCGATTACTTGTAATGCGTACGGTACAAGTCTGGTTGTACCAATGTTTTTTAGTAAGAGGTAGAGTCCACGAACTTCGAAACACTGTCTTCCCTTTGACAGACTTTCGAGAAGGAGACCGGAGACTTGGAAACTTAGTAAGTGCTGAGGTGGTCACTGGCCATATGATTACCTTCAATATGTAGGCTATATAAGGCTCTGGTGCTGTCAACAGGACTGTGTTTCTGGTGTTGAGTGCTTGAGGGTGTTTGTGTTTGTTTACATTGCTTATTTGTGGGATGTGTATGTACCAAAAAGACACTATTTCCTAACGAAATTCAAAAATATATGAAAAAAATTGAGTGTTCTTTTTAAACGTTAATCTGCGGTTCCGTCAAAAGGAATTCAACAAAATTTATGTAAGAAGGAATTCAAAAGAATGTATGTAAGAAGGAGTTAAATAAGTTGTCAAAACAAAGTAAAAAAAAACATCAAAAAGTTAAAAAAGAAATTCAATACGACCCCAGAAAATTTTCAACAAAAATTTAAAAGAATATAACTACAGATTTTTGTAAGGATTAGCAAGTCCCCTGTACTTGGTGAATATTTGGGGTGAAAAACACGCTATTTACACAAGTTACCATAAATTTACACGTTGAGTAACGGATAATTCGTTAAAAAATCATGCGAGGTTGCAAGAAACGTGTTTTGCTTCGGTTATACACGCATAACCGTGTAGCCAACCTCGAAAACACGCATCACCCCCGGCGGCGACCGCAGCATTGCCGGCTACCGAAGCACCGCAATGCTTGGGGACACACCTAGAAAGGACCGTGGAGACAAATTCCGCGGAAAGAAACATGTCTCGGAGACAGATATGCACCAA